AATGGCCTCCGCCTGATCTTATGACCTTTTTTTAAAATCTTGGTTCTTAAGTGAATCACTGCAGTTGCTGAGTGAATCGTGGAGATTCATTTAGTGGATCTGTCTCCCCCCCCCCATTGATTTGGTTATCAGAAGCTGGCTGGGAAGATGGCAAATGATGGTCACATGACCAAGGGATGCCGCAACCGCCCTAAATCCATGCCAGTTGCCAAGGGCCTGAATGTTGATCACACCATCGGGAGGGGAAGATGCTGCAATGGTCATAAGTATGAGGATATTTTTTCAGAAGTGGTTGGCCATTGCCTCCTTCATAATGCTGAGAGAGAGGGACTGGCCCGAGGTCACCCAACTGTCTGGGTTTAAGGTTGGACTAGAACTCATTTCTAGCTAAGTGACCTTGGGCCAGTCCCTCCCTCTCAGCTCTAAGAAGGAGGCAATAGCCAACCACTTCTGAAAAAATGTTCTCCTTAACGACCAGTGATCTCTAATAAAATGGTTACAAGGCGAGAAATTCTATTCTATTCTATTCTATTCTATTCTATTCTATTCTATTCTATTCTATTCTTAATTCTATCATTCTTCTATTCTTAATTCTATCATTATTCTATTCTATTCTTAATTCTATTATTCTATTCTATTCTTAATTCTATCATTCTTCTATTCTTAATTCTATCATTCTATTCTATTCTATTCTATTCTATTCTATTCTATTCTATTCTATTCTATTCTATTCCACTCCACTCCACTCCACTCCACTCCACTCCACTCCACTCCATCATTATTCTGTCTATACCACACCACACCATACCATACCATACTATCTATAATCCTGAACGTAACATTCTACAAAGGCTGGTGTTGTTATGACTTTGGGCACAACTCAATAGTACAAAATGCAGATTGACAATACAATCATGGAACCATCTCTCTGTAGACACCATTTTTGTGGGGCCTAGTTCTCTAATAACAAATAGATGTTATTAATTAAGCGACCTCAGCAACAGATAATCTGGAAGTATTCTTGTACCAATTAGTCTCTTTAATGCAAGAGTCCTGTTTCACCGTGTTTGAAATGTAATATTTCTCAGCCTTGTTCCCTTTGTTGCATTTCCAGTTTTGGATAGAAAAGGAACATTGTGTTGCGGCGTTGGAGGCACACACTTCCTAATTAGCAACAGAGAAAAGAGAGCCTGCGAAGAAGCAAATGAGATGTATTTTCAAAGATGTAATCCTCGTTCAATTGAAAATGAGAACCAAAAGCCTTAGTTTTAGATAATATGATAGTTTCATTTTATTCTCCCCTCCCCCCCGCTTTTCTGGACTGAGTAAAAACTGTCCAGTAATTGAGTTTGCTTATTCCAGTTTTGGTAAATTCAGAAAATGCCCCCATTCCCCCCCCCCAAACAGGCTTCTTAAGCAGGAATTTAATAGATAGACCTAACCCCCAAATTAAATGTCTCAAGCAAGCTGGTATTTATTTGTTTTCCAAAATTTTCCTTTGAAAAAAGAAAAATACTTGGTGGAATAAGCTCATTCATCTGCAGAGTTTTCTCATCTTCAAACTTTACTTCAGGCAACTAAAAGGCAGCTCCAGAATCTGATGGTAGATAGAGTGGACCTCCTTCTCCTCACTTTCCTTGCCTCCACTAAAGTTCTGGTGGTATAACTTCAGAGGGTGGTTAACCAAATGGTTGTAAGTGGAGGACTACCTGTTACCAAGTCCTCGACTTACAACGGTCCATTTAACGACCATTCGAACATCTTTACGGCACTGGGAAAAAATGACCTAGACTCTTTTTCACACTTACGACCGTTGCAACATCCGCGCAGTCACGTGATCAAAATTCAGACGCTCGGCAACTGACTTGTACTTATGACAGTTGGCAGTGTCCCGGGGCATCACATGATCCCCTTTTTGTGATCTTCTGAGAAGCAGAGTCAACAGAGAAGTGTGACTTAACTGTGTGACTTAACGTAACGACTGCAGTGTTTCATTTAACAACTGTGGCAAGCCAGGTCATAAGATGGGGCAAAGCTCACTTAACTAATGTCTCACCTAACCACAGAAATGCTGAGTTCAATGGTGGTTGTAAATTGAGGACTAGCTGTGCCACCATCCTTTTAGAGAAGGGTGATTGGGTTTGATGCTACCTGGGGAGGGAGCACGCCTGATTTGCTATCTGGGGAGGTGTGATGACTAACATCTGTCCTGGATGCTTCTGAGCTCTGCCATTCAGTTCTCTGGTTTTTCTAGACAGGAAGACCGTCTTATAGTTAATAATAAGAAACTGGCATACCATTGAGGTTAACAAGAAAGTCTTCCTTGCCAATGTTGAGAGACAGGACCCAGGAAATGTCAACAACTGTCAAATCTGGTCTTTCCCAGACACTGCCTCCACTGGCAAGTACCAAACTCCTGTCAAAATTAAAGGCAGAGTTTCCAACGTATTTTATAATACAACTTTAAGGTCAAAGCAGAGAAGGAACATGAAAGCAGCTGGGTCTTTTTTTTTTTTCCCAAGCTCAGACTGCTGCTTCAGGAACTAACGCTGTCTCTGCAACGATGTGCCATACATGTCGAGTAAATAACCATGCAGGCATGTGCACATGGACACACACAGGGTAGAAATGAATTCCAAAGAGTGAAAAAAGGACACCATTGCCCAAGTTGATCTAGAAAGAGTTGTTTTGAGGGCGTCTTGAAAATGTTTTCAAGCAACACTTGCAAAGGATTTTACTCAGGACTTGGGACATATTGAAAGTAACTTAATTTAATACTGTGGAGTGCCTGGTGTTCTGTGGACTTGATGGTTTGCTTGCAGAGGTTTTATTTACCTGCTAGCCAGGTAATATCAAACTATTCTCCAAAGCACCTGAAGGCAGGACAAGAAGCAATGGATGGAAACTAATCAAGGAGAGAAGCAACCTATAGAAGTAAGGAGAAATTTCCTGACAGTGAGAACAATTAATCAGTGGAACAACCTGCCTCCAGAAGTGGTGAATGCTCCAACACTGGAAGTTTTTAAGAAGAGACTGGACAGCCATTTGTCTGAAATGGTATAGGGTTTCCTGCCTGAGCAGGGGGTTGGACTAGAAGACCTCCAAGATCCCTTCCAGCTCTATTCTATCCTAACATCAGTGCTTGATGATGATGATCAGTACAGCACTGATGATGTTACATAGTTGGGTAATGAAATGTCTGCAAGCGAACCACAAAGCTCAGAGAGCACCAAGGAGCCCACAGTTCAATTCTGACCTAGACATTCCCTTCTATTGGTTCATCTAATCCATAGTTATTCCCATAGGTATCAAAATGATGCCATTTTTTCCCAATTGCAGACCTGAGGTGTTTGGTCTCCCGAATGCATTTGTGTTCATTGTGTGCATATGCCTGGGGGGGAAAAGAAAATATTTTTCCAGAAGTGATCTTGCCCACGGATCTGTTTTGAACTGCTCTTGAGTTGACAATTAGGATCCTTGACGATCTCCCCTTTTATTTAAGATAGCAATCTCGCCTAGACAAATGTAATATTGTTGGCAAGGTTTTGGGTGGAAGATCACATGGCACCGAGCTGAACTCTTTGCATTTTGCCTTGTGGATTTTCTTGGGTTGTTGCGCTGCCATTCTTAACTCTTCCCGGCCATTGTTTGCATTTTTCTTTATAGATGCTTTCAGGGCATTGCTTTTCAGTTGTGTGCGTGTGTGAGAGAGACATGTGAGCAGATCCCTTTAATTGTCCTGTGCTGCTTCATATGCATAGAAACAGATCGCTGAAGGGCATATAGCCTAAAAGCACTTAAATGTTCTGTATTTCAGTTAAACACGTGTTAAAACAAAATTTGTTTGCCTCAAGCCAAAAATGCTATCCTTTGATATTTTCCCCCCTATCCTATTTACTCCAAAGACTGAGCAGTTTGACTGATGCAGTGATCTTTCATCCTAGGCAGCCTGTTTATTTATGTATGTATGTGTTTATTTAAAAGATTCATATAGCTGTCCATCTTAAGTTATCTGGGCTGCTTTTGAAGGGGGCTTTAAAGAAATATATCTATATTCCACAAATGGTGATGCCTTTTTTCATTTATGGAAAAGCTGTATCTGTAGTTGTGACCAGCCTAGAAAATTGATAAAGATGCCAGGGAATTTGTAGAAGGCTGGCACACTTGACAAATCAGCCATCAAGGGACACATAGACTTAACAACATACTGGAGGCTAGGGGACTGGAGGCTAAAACATACAATGAGATCTGTAGCACATCAGCTGATTAAGCATGAAACCCCAAATAGATTCTATGTCATGTTCAAGAAAGCTCTCTGGGCAGCTATTCTGAATGTTTTGAGGTACAAACAGTTTGCCCTGGAAAATGCATCTCTCAATAGAATTAAACTGGGCTCCATGCTGGGAAAAATGGGCTCTATGTCAGACTTAGAACAAAACTCTAAAAGGTTTGTTTCATGCTTAGGATGCTCAACACATCTCTTTTGCACTCTGACCAAGGTTGAGGTACCGTGTTTCCCCAAAAATAAGATCAGGTCTTATTTTTATTTTTTTGCCTACAAAAGAGGTCTTATTTGGGGGGTATCTTTTATACTCCCCTCCGGCGCTGACAGCCCTGCCCAGTAGGTCCACTTCTTCTGCGGCTGAAGGAGCAGCTTCATTTTGCAACTGCATTCCAGCCTCCATTTTGCAGTCATGCCTTTCCGGAAGGCCCGTGACTGAGAAATGCAGGCTGGCTGCAGAAGACGCTGCAGAAGAAGTGGGCTGGTGAGGAGAGGCCTAGCTGCAAGGTAAGTGGGTGTGGTGTGTGTGGGGCAGATTCACACCCCCACCCCTGTCGTAGCTTGATTTTTAACTGTGTGCCTCGCCCCCAAACTAGGGCTTATTTTCAGGGTAGGGCTTACTTTCGGCGAAACCAGGTATTTTGTGCCTCCCTACAGCTAAACTCAACCCAACATCTAGAGCGTTCTCCTTAACTCTGCCTCTCTCTTTTACTCCCAGTTGCTCTGCCTCCAGAAAAGACAGATGGAGCTTGCAGCGGTGATGAAAAGAAAGCCGAAAAGGAAACTGATGTCCGCACAAATGCCAAGAAGCAGCTAAAATTTGAGGTAAAAGCATGTTGTCCTTTTGTTAGGGCGGCCAGTTGCTCTGAGATCTTCAAAAGATGCCGTTCCCATCCTATTTGACTCCTAATCGGCTCCACATTAGCGGTTTTGCAAATGCAAGCGTCGTTCAAAACAGCGATGCTGGTCTTCTTCCAAACATTTGGGGAGTGTTCTGAGGTCAAGACAGCTCTGGTTTGCACTTGGAACCCTTCCAGGAGAGTTGGAACAACATCAGAACGCTTCCAGAAACGATGAAATAACCCATTTTTGAACTTGAAACGGCATTTGGAGTCTTGAAATGTTTTGTCTTTGAAACATTTCACAAGCCTCTTTCAATGCATGCCCTGTTTTCCTGGAAGATAGAAGACGCTTCAAGAGTTCAGAGAACTGCTAGCTTTCTGCCCTATTTGGGAGCACATAATAAATATTGTGGAGGATTATATTGTGTGTATGTGGTTGCAAAGTGATTGCCTAGATCCGTATCCTGGAAGATTTGGAAAGAATTGGAGGTGACCCAATAATCATGCTTTCTGCCTCCATCTCCTGCTGTACGTACAAGAGGCCACCATGCTAGCAGTTGAATCGTACTTCAAAACTGACAATGAGGCAGCAACTACTAGTACAAGGGAGAGCTTAGTTTGGGTGATGGGCAGACTTCTCCATTGATAGGTTGTTGTATCATCATATCTCAATCTGCTTCTTGAGGGTGGTTGATTGACTTTACTTAATTAGGAGACCCGACCTTTGAAGAACCCAAGTTGATCCATGGGGCAAGCAGAATTTGCTCTCAAAGTTCAAAAACTTTGCAACTCCCAGGAAGATTATTCCAGCTTTTGTTTACAAAAGCATCTTTAGCAACCGAAAGAATAACAGAGCTGAAAGGGAACTTGAGGTCTTTTAGTCCAACCACCTACTCAAGTAGGAGACTCTTACCATGCTGGACAAATCACTCTCCAATCTCTTCTTAAAAACTTCCAGTGTTGGAGCACCTACAACTTCTGGAGGCAAATTGTTCCAGTGATTAATTGTTCTCACTGTCAGGAAATTTCTCCTTAGTTCTAGGTTGGTTCTCTCCTTGATTAGTTTCCATCCATTGCTTCTTGTTCTGCCTTCAGATGCTTTGGAGAAGAGGTTGAATCCCTCTTCTTTGTGGCAACCTCTGAGATATTGGAAGGCTGCTATCATGTCACCCCTCATCCTTCTCTTCATCAAACTAGACATACCCAATTCCTGCAACCGTTCTTTGTATATTTTAGCCTCCAGTCCGCTGATCATCTTTGTTGTGCTTCTCTGCACTCTTTCTAGAGTCTCAATATCTTTATTACTTAAACACTTTAATTATAGTGGGGCATGCGTGTTTATGTGAAGTTTCCCCAGTTATGTCCCATGGAATAATTACAGTTGTGAATTAAGCTCTAGATTCATGCCCAATTGGCTTGCAGCACTGGCTGCCCTTAGCTGATCTGGAAAAGCTAAGCAGGATCAGACTTGATCAGGACTTGACTGAGAAGCTGGAAAAAACAACAAATTGAAAAAAAAACAACACCCTGCATACTCATTCCAGGAAATCACTAGGAATCAAACTTGGTTCAAGGGAAACCTTTTATTTGGAGTGTTCTTGTGTGTGCAGTAGTTCCATGAAGTTCCATGAGCTCATACGAGGAGAACTTTCTCAAGGGCCAACCAAGCACCAGGGATGCCAACTGTGGCAAAATTTAAATATATTACTATACATATTATTCTTACGTCTCATGTATTGGCATTAATGAATCTTCTCTGTTGGCTGTCATTACGCTTCTTTCTCCGAGTTTCTGTTTTCTTATCTTCTTGCCAAAAGTGATCAGTGTGTTGTTGCTGTAAAAGACACAGATAGTGCTGGGAGTAAACAGAGCCAATTACAAGTACCTAAGTGATCTAATTCTCCTCTTTGATATAAATTCAGCTAAGTGGACAGATTAAGAGTCTTCAGAAGTTGGTGGTGATCTTGCCAAAATTGTTCCAGGACTGATAACTGAAGTTGCAAAAGAATAGACTTTCATCTTAACTCCCCCCCCGCCTCCTTGATTGGTCTTTCAAAATAGAATTAGTGAATCAAACAGAGAGACATCTTTGAGAAAACAGGGACTTTTCATGTAGCTTCATTGATATCTAACACAGTCAATGAGGTTTCTATGATTTGAGTGGCTTTAAGATTGCTTTCTTCCTGCTTCCCTCTCCTTCCTTCCTTCCTTCCTTCCTTCCTTCCTTCCTTCCTTCCTTCCTTCCTTCCTTCCATCCATCCATCCATCCTTCCTTCTTCCCTCTTCTTCCTTCCTTCCTTCCATCCTTCCATCCTTCTTCCCTCTCCTTCCTTCCATCCTTCCATCCTTCTTCCCTCTCCTTTCTTCCTTCCTTTCTTCCTTCTTTCCTTTCTTCCTCCCTCTCTCCTTCCCCCCATCCCTCTTATTCACAATTGTGGATAAGAAAGACAAAAAAACTCTGGCTAGTAGACTTGGCAGTACTTGGAGACAACAAAACAGAAGAGAAACAACTGGAGAAAATCCCAAACGATAAACCCTTGCAAATAGAAGTATAATGAATGTGGCAAAAGAAAGCAAAGATAGTGCTAATAATAATAATTGCTGCCTTGGTTCAATCCTGAAACATCTGGAGCACCACTTGAATGTCATCATCTGGCACTGACAAATTCACCAGTCAATTGCAAAAGGCAGCTTTGCTTGCTTGGATCAGCTTCCGTCCTGTAACGTTATCTTTAACACCATCGAAGGTCCTCGGGAAGGACGATAGGCAGATAAAAAGGACAAATCCAGCCTAAACATCTGTCTGACCAACCATAATGATGCACATTGCTGATTTCTATCTCTGGGTTGTCCAAGGAGTCTCCTCCTTTGAGAAGTGTGGAGATAGGTCGCTTGCATTTGAGACCAGAGCTCCTCAGTGGCGCAAGCAGATGGGCTGAGCACACAGTAGAGGCTTTCATTTTATGACAAGGCACCCAGGAGTCTGAAATACCAGTCAAGAGGTCTAAATCGGAGGCCGCGGTAAAGATGCAGAGAATGTTTGTGTAATCTGAACCTCCACTTCCACAACTGTGTAGGGGTCTTTTGGCAGCTTTCAAGCTGGGGCCTGTAACAAGCAGGAGACGGCTGCCTTTGAACTCAGCAGGGGAAGTGGGGGCTTTACCGTTAACTGCTGTAGGGAATTGGTTTCAAGTCAGCAGATCAAGGAGGTATTTCAGGCCTTCCATCCTGCCAGAGCTATTTGGAACTGTTTATTTTCTTTGAGTGCGACCGCTTTTATTTTAATTGCCCCCATGCCTTGCTTGGCTCCCCTTGACTCTGATCAGGAGAGTTCCACAGAAGTAAGGTGAGGAGGGTCCTGTAAAGTCGAGGTGAGGCGTTGGATTGAAGTGGAGTTGGTTGTGCAAACAGTTTTTCCCTCTTTGGAAACACAAGACTGAACTGGAGAGTCCCTCCTTCAGTTCTTACCTTAGCCAGGTTTAAAACATCCGGGCATCCTTTCACGATTCTTTTGTGGCAGTCCTCCAGGTACAGCAGTCCATTTAGTGACCATTCAGAGTTACCACGGCTGAGGACCGTTTTTCACATCCCTATGGTCACGTGATCAAAATCCGGACACTTGGCAACTGACTCATCTTTATGGCGGTTGCCGTGTCCCACAGCCATGCCATCCCCTTTTGCAACTTTTTGACAAACAAAGTCAGTGAGTAAGCCACTTAGCAACCATTTTACTAACTCAACAACGGTAGTGGTTCACTCCTTTACTCGAGCTGGTCCATGTCTTCTTGGATACAAGATTGAGTTTTAGCTCTTCTCAGGCATCCCCAAACTGTGTTCCAAAATGGCGGCCGGGCGTCGCTGTCAAAACCCAAACTAAGAAAATAATTTCCACGATATGTCTCAGACTTCGGCCATTTTTATTTTTTAAATGCAAGTAGCTCTCCAGTGATGACCACAATCAACCCCAACATTTCTGTTGTTAAGCTAGACATTTGTTAAGTGGGTTTTGCCCCATTTTACAACTTTTCCTGCCGCAGTTCTTAACTGAATCTGGCTTCCCAACTGACTTTGCTTGTCAGAAAGCCACAAATGTGGATCACAGGAGCCCGGGATCACTGCGACCGTCAGAAATATGAGTCAGTTGCCAAGCTTCTGAATGTTGGATCATGTGACCCTGGGGATACTGCAACGGTCGTAAGTGGGGAAAATGGTTATAAGTGGTGGGATTCGGCTGGTTCGGACCAGTTCAGCAGAACCGGTAGCTAATTTTTTGTTGCCCAGGCCCAGAACGGACGTCCGGAAGTGGCATCCACACAGAGAACCGGTTGTTCACATATTTGAATCCCGCCACTGGTTATAAGTAAGGTGACCAACCGTCCTCCTTTAGGGAGGACAGTCCTCCTTTTGTGAGTTCTGTCTTCCCTCAAAAAGTGTCCTCCTTCATGTCCTCCTTTTCGATATTTGAAGACTAATCTGAAGGGCTTTTTTTTCCCCTCATAGAACGTTCTGAATGGCGTTCCGGCACCTTTTTTTGATGGTTTTTGTTTTCAGCTTTTGCATGAGCTGTGCTACTCCCCCTATTGGCTTTTGAAAGCCAATAGGAATTGCTGCTGAGCGCGCCAAAACACCCGGCTGGCAAACTTTGCACATGCACATGCAACTCATTGTTGCAATGAGTAAAATGTTTCTTTTATTTACGATATTTTTTTTCTTCAATTTATTTGTGTCCTCCTTTTCATTGTAAAAAAGTTGGTCACTTTTTTCAATGCTGTGGTAAATTTTGAACGCTCATTAAGTGAATTGTTGTAAGTTGAGGACTGCCTGCATGTTTTATTTCATGTCAGGCTCCAGTGACTCAACATCAGGAGAATCTTTGAATGTGTCATTGCCAGAAAGGATGATCAATCAGAAGGCTCAAATTCTTTGGTTTTGCATAAAGTGTTGCTTAAAGAATGTTTTCTTTAACATTCTCAATTTACAGACTTCATACCAAGAGGCCTTAGTTGCATTGCTGGGCCTTAAAACCTTTCAAGGTTTCAGTCTAAATCAATGTGCAGAATTCGATGAGGCAGCTCGGAGGGGGCGTTGTTGTTTGGATTCGGACACTGTGGTGTTTTTCACGGGCCAGAAGTGAGGATGAGCAGGAAGGATACTTAAAATCTGTGGATGAAAAGAGTTTTTTCAATGGATAGATTTGGGGGGGGGGAACCAGTTTGTAGCAACGTTCATGTTTTATGCTGTAAATCTTTTCCGCTTTCTCTTTAGATTAATTAGTTTGTTCTTTCTCAAACTGGAGGGTCTGACTTCCGATTTCTAAGCGGTTTTGCAAGTAGCTTTCTCCTGGGCACTTAAGGAAACTGAAAATATTTCAAACTCTGCAGGAAACTTAGCTGAAGGGAATTAGGTTAAAAAGCTCTATTCAACATCTTCTTTTTGCCCAATCCGAGAACAGCTGACACATCGCCCCTAAATACGACTGCCGTTTTGGAGAGGACAAATGGAAGCTGACACATCTTATTTGAAGTTGTAACATTTAAAAAATAAAATAAATCTATAAGACACTTTCTGGGATTATGGGGTATACAAACCAGAGGTATTGTTCATATGGGCGGCCAATAAAATTTAAAATAAATAAAAACAAATAAGTAAAAATACATGACCTGGTTGGTGGTCTTGACCAGACATTTTAGGAAATGAATATTGCATTAGACCTGGAAGGGAGTAACTTACAATTTGAATGCTGTGTCTCTATCTTGCCTTTATTTTCAATTGGTAAAAATGGGTGTGTTTTTTTCAAAATGGGTCCTAGGCTGGCGCCAAAGGCAGTAAAGACCACCAGACATAAGACATGACATTTTCAGCTTCTTTTATTGGAATACTCCAGCAAAAGGGTCTCGGCAGCTAAAGGAGTCGAGACCCTGAACAATGCACAAATAGAAATTTTATACAGTTATAATTAAGGAAGTTAACACCCTAAGAATCAATCATTGGTTCCTTAACACATGTTTTTTTTGATTGGGTTATTCTATTTTACTCTCCTCCTTCTCCATACATTGCATGTTTATGCTAATAAGCTTTCTTTTCAAAAGGAGTGTGGGTTTTATTATTATAATAAGCTAAAGGTTTACCAGAGTTTATATATCTATGTGCCTTAGCCAGCATCCTTCTAACGTGTCCTTCTAAGTTGTAACTTTCTTGGTGCAGTAGTGTCCCAACATTTGTTACTGGTCTTGTTATAGCTGCAACTTTCTGCCTTGGCAATGTCTTTAACAAACTTTCCTAATTGCAATCTGAGTTCTTCAGGTGTTCGTTGCAAGATGAAGCAAAGATAGCAAGTTCTAACTATGTAAGAACTAGGTATGCTTCCCAGTCAATGCAGATCATTGCATTGTCATTGACAGTTTTGGTGGGCCACTAGATAAGGAAACCACTGCTAGCAGTTTGATCCTGACCAGCTCAAGGTTGACTCAGCCTTCCATCCTTCCGAGGTCGGTAAAATGAGGAGTCAGATTGTTGGGGGGCAATAGGCTGACTCTGTAAACCGCTTAGAGAGGGCTGTAAAGCACTGTGAAGTAGTATATAAGTCTCAGGTGCTATTGTTATCTTTAATATTGCTTAGCGCTGCAAGGAATCACATATCAAAATAACATACTTCTATTTTTATGGTTTATGATGCATTCGCAGACATAATTGTCTTCATCCCAATAATTTATGTGCAGTAGGTCTACCAGGGAGAGGGATTATATTATTTTATTATATTGGTAAGGCCACACTTGGAATACTGCATCCAGTTTTGGTCACCATGATGTAAAACAGATGTTGAGACTCTTGAAAGAGTGCAGAGAAGAGCAACAAAGATAATCAGGGGGCTGGAGGCTAAAGCATATAAGGAATGGTTGCTGGAATTATTGGGCATGTCTAGTTTAATGAAGAAAGGATGAGGGGTGACATGATAGCAGTGTTCCAATATCTCAAGGGTTGCCACAAAGAAGAGGGAGTCAAGCTATTCTCCAAAACACCTGAAGGCAGAACAAGAAGCAAAGGATGGAAACTAACCAAGGAGAGAAGCAGCCTGGAACTAAGAAGAAAATTTCTGACAGTTAGAACAATTAACCAGAGGAACAACCTGCCTCCAGAAGCAGTGAATGCTCCAACACTGGAAGTTTTTAAGAAGACAGCCATTTGTCTGAAAGGGTATAGGGTTTCCTTCCTGAGCAAGGGGTTGGACTAGATGACCTCCAAAGTCCCTTCCAACTTTATTATTATAATATTATTATTATAGTATCTCCCTCTACACAATACAGACAATGGAGCACTGATTATACCTTATATCAAACTGGTGGATGACTTCAGTCACGGGCTCATGCTGATGGTTAAACAAGTGGGAGTGTCTAATTCTATTGGGCTTTGGATTGATCTGTCCACATGTGCCAACAGAACTGACCACACATAAAGGAGGAGACCCACCACCATTTAGTATGTCCACCTCCTCTTCATCTCCATAGGCAGTCCAGAAGGATACCAAAACTGATGGTATCAAAAGTCTCTGAGAGATTAAAGGAAGCAAGGATCATTGTAACCACACCAGTCATGGATTCATCAATAATCATCAACAGGCATGACCATAGCTCTCAGAGTTATGCCTTGAATAGTCTTCAAGGACAGCCCTAATGAAAGAATCTAGATTATCTGTTTCTTGCAGAGCCCTTTGAAGTCACAGCCTAATCACTTTCTCAACTATCTCTGCTAAAAAAGGGATTTTTCCCTTGGAAAAGCATCTTCAAACAAAGCATGTTTTAGATAACAACTAGCCTTTTTGTTTTGGTTAACCATATGCACGTTCATGATTGTGTGTTCCTTAGGAATTGCAGTGTGATGTGTCTGTTGAGGAAGACAACAGGCAAGAATGGACCTTCACCCTCTATGATTTTGACAACAATGGCAGAGTCACCCGTGAGGTAAGCCAAGTTACACATAAAAACTACACACGGTAAAAAAAAATTGGCAAAGAAAATTGAGAAAAAGGCAGGTTCTCCATGGAATAAATCAATATATTTCTAGCTCAGGAGAGCATGAATTTTAGATATTGATTTTCTTTAGGGCCACTGATTCATTTGCTGCAGGTTTTTGAGATAAATCTGTGCAGCGCACTCATCCCTCACAGCAACGTTCTCCAAGCTTGGCAACTTTTAAGATTTATGGATTTCAACTTCCAGAATTCCTCAGCCACAGGTCTTTAAGTTGCCAAGTTTGGAAACCCCTGTTTTATGGAATGTTTTTGAGATTATAGATTTTGGACATTTTTCATAGGAACTACAAGTGTCCCCTGTACCACAGTGTTGTGAGTTCAAAGATCTTTCTCTCTTCAGCTAATCCCAAGTGGGAGACTTCCTGCTCAAATGCATGTCTGCATACCAAGTAGTAATAGTTTGATATCTATCATCATATGGAGGATTCATCTGGAATAGCATTGCATTGGCAATCAGATGGAAGATCTACTTTAGCATTAATTTGATCTGTGAATCAAACTCTCCTCCACAGAACTGATTCATGTTTGTTGAAATCTTTGCCTGAATTTGCAATCCTGAATGAACATTTATTACTATTAACTAATTAATTAATACACATTAACAATATGTATTATGGCTGTATTATCATCTTTATTCCCCTCTCTTATTGGTTTTATGATTATGATGATTATTCTGTTGCTTTGCACGTACACTGAAAGTTTCTACACCAGAGACAAATTCCATGTGTGTCTGATCACACTTGGCCATATAAAGTATTCCGTTTGATTCAATATAAACCCAACTTTTTCACGGTTCTGCTTTTAGAATCCTTGCAGTAGAATTCTTTGCTGGTTTTGTTTTCGCAGTTGGCATTGTTTAATGTCAAGGATTAGCGCTGTCCATGTATGTGTGTGTTTAAGGAACATTTTAAAAGTGTGAATTTGGAAAGCGATAAACATCTGAGACAAATTATTCCTTAAACAGAGTGTCAAGAGCACCCTTTGCAAATATGACATTCTTTCTGGCTCCTCCAGTTGCTATAAGAACCAAGCCAATAAAATAACAAGCGTGGTCTTTGAACATTTTTTTTCCCAGCGGGACCGATAATCGTATTTATCACGAGGAGGGATCTAAGTGCAAAGTGTAAGATTTTGCTGAGGCTTACATGCTTTATAGATTTAGAAGTGACAACACCCGTGTGCCGTAAAAATGCATCAAATTTTCAGGCCAAGCTTTTTGCTCAAGATTTCCAGGTTCTTCCATCAGTCTGGACTTAACCTTGCACTTGAAATAACAAATACACCGCTTATTCCTGGACTTGTTTCTCTTCCACTTTGTCTGTAGGCTATTTCAGTTTTGGTAGTGTGTTATACCGGCAATTCACACAATGACAAGGTGAGAATGCAGAATTCCTGTGGATTCAGCAAGGCGGGAGGGGGGGATGGGAGAGACGGAAATGTCTTCAGCTAGGAAAACAGCGAAGCTTAGCCAAAGTGTGAAGTGTGTTATTTTTGGTGTGGTGAATTAGAGAGCAAAACTGGCATTTCAGAGAGAACGCCCATGGGTTGTTACGGAGGCTGAGTGTTGTTCCTTGTGAATAACTTAGTGGATGCCCTATAGCAGACATGTCAAACACAAGGACCGGGGGCCGGATGCGGCCCACAAAGTGGTTTCATGTGGCCCGTGAAGCCATCCTGGAAACAGTGAGGGAACGGCCCCTGCTGCCTTGGCCCTGGACCAAACCGGCCGGGAGCCAATGTACAATTTTGTGGTGGCCATCTATGCTGAAACAGATTCAGTCTTAGCTCCATTAACACCCCCCCCCCCGTATGGCCTAAGAGGAACAGTGAGGCTCCTCCAATGGACCATGCCTTGACACTTGCCCTGGTCCCACCCCCTTCTGCCAAAGACCCTCAGATCTGTCCCACACTTGCCCAAGCCCCCACAGGCACCCTTGACGCGAACGATGTAGAGCTGGCCATGCCCACCCAGTAGGCCACACCCACTCCATCCGCACCCACCCTGGCCACACCCACCCGGCCCCCTGAGGGCAACCGCAACGCTGATGCGGCCCTCAATGAAATTGAGTTTGACACCGCTGCCCTATAGCTTTAAGGCTTTGCTTGAGGAGGTCTGTGTTAATAGAGCTTCTGAAGAGGTGAAGAGAGATACCACGAGGATGTAAAAGAAAGGAGAAATGAATATAGGAAGAGTATAGACTCATTTCTGCGTCCCCCTCCACTCCCCATATTCAAGATTTTTATTTTTATGGGTTTAAGCAATCAAACGGCTTTGGATAAGAAAGAGAGAGACAATCCAGCTGTTGCGTTTGAAGCCAAGACTGAAGAAATATGTCTCTGGGATAGATGAATGCAGAACGTTGGTGCAAAACTATAATTACATTAGAAGGGAATTCATGTCTATCTGGAATTATTTTTCACTTCAGTTACAAGTCACAGCGTTTTTTGAAACACGGGGAGGCTTTTAATTAGCCCGCCTTATTAAACTTAGAGGTTTTACATCTTAAAAGGCCACTTGCTTTTAAGTGTTAAGTGTCGGGTATTTTTTCAGGGAACTGCACATGGACGGTAACCAGGGTGGTTTGATTAGATGGCTACCAGTTTTTTTTTTTAATTTACCAGGATTTCTTAGAACACTCACAACAAGTGCATTCACATGCAGCATTTAATACAGGGATAACCATTACCCAGGAAGGAGAGCCATGAATTTTTTGCTTGGAGAGGATGGCGTAGACATTGGGCTTTTTTCCCCTTCTTTCTTTTCTTTATAAAATATGTTAAGCCGCCTTTAGGGATTGTGGACTATTTCTGAACCTCGCCTACTTCAAACCCTGCTGCCAATTTTTTGGCAGTTGTGAAGCAAAAGAACCCATCCTGATTTAATGCAGAAGAAACTTGGGGTTATTTATACACGTCTTTCATCGGCAAAGTTGTCTGCAGAGACTTCCTCCCTGTTAAAATTACCTGGATGATGTATGGAGCATGCTTTTCATTGACTTTGCTTATCAGAAGTTTGCAATAGGGCAGTGATGGCAAATCTTTTAGAGACCGAGTGCCCAAACTGCAACCCAAAACCCAGGTGGGCATGGCCCATTGGGTGGGTATGGCCCATTGGGTGGGCATGGCCCATTGGGTGAACGTGGTCCATATGGTGGATGTGGCTGCGGTGGTAATGGCAGACTGGGTGGGACTAAAAAGTTCAATCAATCAATTCCAACTTTGCGAGATCTTTTTTTCCCCGCGAGAAGTTAAAATTGATTGATAGAACCTTTTTTTTTTTGCACACGGCGGTGGAGGCCTAAAGTGAAAAGGTTTTATAAAACCCAGCTGAAGGCCTAGGACTGGGGCGATGGTGCACGTGCCCACAGAGAGGGCTCTGCTTGCCACCTGTGTTACGCGTGCCATAGGTTTGCCACCACGGCAATAAGGAATCATGTGACCCCAGGACGTTGCAACCGTCATATATATATATAGCAGCGGCCAAGGAAGATGCTGTTGTAACTTGAAATGTTCACTAAATGAATGGCTGTAGTCACTAAATGAATGGCTGTAAGTCAAGGATTATCCGAATTTGAAAAGAATGACTTTGAATATGACTGAACTCCTACTTCCATCAAAGCTATGGTGATCTTGACCATGATTTGCTGACTGGCATTAGCTGATCTTGACATGACGCTGAAATATGACCCAGGACTTATCATTGATAGTATCTACCACCTTCTAAACCACAATAGTTGTGTGATCCAAACCAAAAGAAGAGAAGGGGACAATAGACATGTTGTGGGAATCTGTCTATTTGGGAATGGGGGACCAAGCCATCAGGAATACAATTGTGTTGAGAGCTGGTTATCTAGTCTCTCCCTCTGTCAATTAGTTAGATATTCAGCTGATGCAGACTAAGTGAATTAGATCAGGGTGGAATTTTTGGAAAATATTTAACCTAAACTCGCAGATGCCTGATTTTTTGTAATAATAATAATAATAATAATAGTTCTTTGTTGGTTAGTTGTTCCATCATTTAGTAAAATGAGTTTTCATAAGTGCATTAACAGGTATGATTGATGCTTGTAATGAAGATATATTGAGGATATGAATATGTTTCCTTCACTTGAGAAGTATCTTATACCATGATAGCTTAAACCAGTGGTTCTCAACCTGTGGGTCGGGACCCCATTGGGGTTGAACGACCATTTCACGGGGGTCGCCAAACAAGGCTGTCCGCCATTTCCCCCCCTTTTCTTTGGCCACGCCCCTGGCATCCAGTGATGTATAAGTGGTTGGGGGTCACCACAACATGGGGAACTGTATTATGGGGTTGTGGCATGAGAAAGGTTGAGAACCACTGGCTTAAACAGTTTGGGTGCAAATTAACTGAGCCAGAATCTTTATGCAATTGCTCCGTAATTGTAATTTTACAATAGTCTATCCTCTGCCTTCCTGGAAACCCACCTTGGTTTTAGCTCCTGTGATATTGCAAAATATTCATAGCTCTTTGAATTGTAATTGTGGGATTTCAGACTGTTGGTAAGAATTACTCTTTTTGTAAAGGAAATACGAAAATGTGACTACTGGCAGAGTAAACACTATCATTACTGGTGTTTACACATGTATTTTATTCTCTTTCTAGGATATTACAAGCCTGCTTCATACCATCTATGAAGTTGTGGATGCTTCTGTAAATCATTCACCCACCTCTAGTAAAACGTTGAGGGTTAAGCTCACTGTTGCTCCAGATGGGAGCCAGAAGAAGAGAAGCATCATGCTGAATCACGCTGGTAAGATTTGATTTGGATCTTTCTTCCTTTTCCAACTAAAGTATCATAAGATATTCCTTAGACTGAGAGAGACTCTTAAGCTGTGTTTGCCTGTTATACCAAGCCATAATAAAATCTGTTCATTTTGGATTTAAATCAATGTACCTTTTTACAAGCTAAAACATAATGGTGCGTTGAAGGAAACCATGGGTTGATCAATCCTGGCTTAATGTGATGTGGAATTGCAACCTTTCAAGGAAATTGGCAATTGAAATAGTACATTGCAAAGTTTCCTTAGTTTAATGGACTGCGTTCTCCACCCCAGTCGGTCCGGTTGAAAATATTTCTTTTTTTTTTTTGCTTTCTCTGGCCAAAGTTTCTTTGAACATCTTTCCTGCTTGCGCTTCTTCATTTCAGTCAATCACTTTTTTTCTCCTCTAAAATTGGAGAATGTTTTCAAGAGGTGTGCTGAATCTTTTCCTGCCTTTGAGGCTGGATGCAAAGAAATGAATCTGTCTACCTATTTTTCACCAAGAAGAGATGTGCCCTTTTTAGTTGGACTGTACCAGAAACTCAATAAGAAGAGATGAAGTAACAATTTCTCTCTGTCTCTGTCTGTCTCTCTCTCTGTGTCTCTGTCTGTCTCTCTCTCTCTGTCTCTGTCTGTCTGTCTCTCTCTGTGTCTGTCTCTCTTTCTCCTCTCTCTCTCTCTCTTTGTGTGTGTTTCTCTGTGTGTGTGTGTGTCTCTCTCTCTCTGTGTCTCTCTCTTTGTGTGTCTGTGTGTGTGTGTTGTGGAAGTAGATCTTCAAAGCTCAAGGCATCGAGTAGAGAGCAAAGCTGGGGAAGAAGCAAGAAGTTGTGACAAGAAGCCAAGGGGTTCCCTCAGGTAAACTAGAGAAAAATGTTTTGTGTCTCTCTGGAGAAATGTCATGCTAGATAGCCTTGGATTTACACATTCAGTTTAGCACTTCTGGAAGGAGGGGGCCCTTTCAAACAGTGCTGTGCCCAAGATATGTTTTCCCCATAGGATGTCCCACATTAACAAGGATGGTCCCATATTAACATGGCACAGTTCAGAAGCTTGGAACCAGGAGGGGTTGAACCTGTCAAATTATTGATGTTCGTTAATGTTGATATCTGTTTTAGCCTTAGCCCATTTGATGGAAAATAAAACTGTCCCCAACTCCCCACAAATCAAGGAAGAACAGGCATCACCGCTAAACGTCCTTCTTGTTAACGATATGCGTGAAATGAATTGAAATGTTTAGAATTTTAATTTTAAAAGACCAGCAAAAACGAACATCAACAATTGCAAAGTTCTGCAAAGTAGCCAGGCTGCAAACATTTTGCAGTAAAGAACTTCTCTAGTAGTTTCTCATTCAAGGATTGACCAAACCTTGACCTTCTTTGCTGCTCAGCCCAAACTAAGATAACTATCTGCTATCTCCTGTTGTAGGAGAATGAATGGCAGAACCTGGGGGTGGAGTTAAAAGAGGCATCAACCTAAAATCCTTACATAGACACAAATGAAGTGAGTCCAACCTCCTTGAATTCTGTGGACCCATATCTAATTCCAAGCAGAGGCTAACCATTAGTTGAGAAGAGTCCTGTGCATAGGTTCTTAGCAATAAATCTGTTTAATTGGATCTTCATGTGTGGACCTGGTCTTTTGCCCTTGTCACCTGTTGAGCTTTTCAATTTAAAGTCCTTAAAAAAAAATAAAAATCAGGGGATTTGGAGGGCATGTCTCTCTGAAATCTAAACCATCTCTGAAGGCTCTAGTTCTTCAAATGTATTGATTGATTAAACTTCTATGCCACCCATGTCACCAGTTCCTTCTCTTCTTCCAGTAGTACCTGTTTTCCCACACTAGGCAAATACCATTCTTATTGTTATTAGTAAATATACAATCGAATATCAACATTTTTGTTACATTTTTTCTCATAATATCAATAATATCAGTTTTAGATTACTTTTCTAACCAAAACATACCTTAATAGCATTTGCACTTAAAATATCCAAATTTTAATTTCCCTCTTCAAAATGCCTCTATTGTTTATAATTTCAAAGTAAGTGATATTTGGGTAACCAAAAGCTTCCCTTACTCAAACCTCTTAGCCGTTTCCTGTTTCCCTTCTTATACCAAAAGCACAAAGCTTAGTTTTTAAAGGCATTCGCTAACATGGTACGATGATACTAAACGGCATCCTGTAATTTGTGAATAGGTACCATCATGGCGAATCTAAGCCTGAACCGAACGGGTGCTACCATCACTGCGTTGATGAAAACATTGAAAGGCGGAACCACTATTTAGATCTTGCAGGAATAGAAAACTACACCTCGAAGTTTGGGCCAGGTATGTTGCCCCCATGCCTTGCAATTTGTTCCAGATCCTGCTATCGTTTGAAATGAGACTGTCTGGCTTACCTGGATGGGGGGGGGGGTCATGCTGAATATTCAGAGATCAGGATGTGTTTTGAGACTTGAAGCAAAGGTCCTGGAAGAGGGCTAGAACAGATGAAGTGTGGAGGTATCAACTGATAAGGACAGCTTTGATTATCTGTTGTTTTCCAGAAAGGGCTCTGTAGAGCAGGGCTTTTCAACCAGTGGTACAGGTACCACCTGTGGTACATTGGCACCTGGCAGGTGGTACACGACCATCCTAGAAAAGTGGTAGCGGGGGAGGGGAATGAGCTGAACCGGTGGCAGCACTGCACAAGCCTGAGCGAGAGATGGCTGGAGCTGCAGGGGTGTCCGGGCTCAGCGGAAGCACCAGGATCAGCGCCAGGCTCCAGCTGGAGCTCGGCACTGATCCTCGTGCTTCTGCTGAGCAGAATGTGAGGACCAGTTGTAAGTCGAGGATTACCTGTGGTGTGGTGTGCTAAGCAAAATGTATTTAAATGAGGTTAGTTAATCTAAGTTCTTTTTAACTTGCCCTTGATCATACAGTAGACCCATCTCTTTCTTTTCTATTAATCTACCCTGTGACTCAATCTACAAGTGATTGTTAGAAATCTAGTATTTTGTCTCCCCATACCTCTTTAGGTCTACATCTTCCAAGTTAAGTCCATAACAAGGACTAAACGAACCCAATTTATCTGTCTTTAATAATGCTAAAATTGTTATATTCATAGCAGGAGTCATTAAGGTAGCCGCCAATGTCCATTAAATCAGGGGGGCAGTTGCTCAGGTGCCCTGCAATTTTTAAATGGTCTTTTGTTGTTTCTTAGGCTCTCCACCGATAGTTCAGAAGCACAATCCAACCATTCGGGTTGCCAATCAAACAAGATCCCGTTCACATGAGCCCGAGGTCTTCCACGCACACCAGCGGAGGTCACCTGTGGTAGACCCTGTCCAGATCAACCTAATGGAAGCTTCATACGCAAAGCTGGCAGAAATTCAGCAGAGGCTGCGGAGTCAAGAGGCCAGCAGACATTTTGTGAAGTCTCCCAAGACTCAGAGCAAAAATACTGCTTCTGTACACACCGGGAGGGCTATGAGAAGTAAACCCATCCAAGGAGCGCCAATTCCCATGGCTTCTCCTACCCCGCGGATAGGTCAGAACTTACCTTACCACCCCATGCAGTCTCAGCAGACTTACAAGAAACATAAGCAGAGGGCCAAAGAGACCCATCAGTTGTGCAAAAGTTTCCAAGCTCCTGGGACCGTTGTGGAAAAAGAGCACGTTAGAGATCTCCCTGCGGTCATCTTATACGAAGGTCAAGTTGGGCAGATGATCCAGAGACATGAGCACCACCACCATCACGAGCACCATCACCATTATCATCACTTCTACCAGACATGAAATGGATCTCTCTCTCTCTCTCTCTCTCTCTTCCCCCCCCCCAGCTCTTGGGGAGCTCTCCCACATGAAGGAAGCGTGTTGTGGCCTCTTGGGGAAAGATCGGTGTTGTCCTTATTCATGTTAGTATGGTTGCTATCATAATTAATATTCTGCTAAAACTATTTTAGAACTTGTATGAAAAACACTAAAAAAATAAGGGTGATAATAATAATAACCTAATATTATTTATATTATGTGGAACTGTATCACTTAACTTTAATAACTTGTGGCTTTTATTATTTTTGGAAGAATTGGCTTGTTCAACACACACACACACACACACAGAGATAAGAAAACAGCCATAGTTATCCTTATGGGAATCTTCACAGAAACTTTTTCATGTATTCAGAGAAGACATGAAAGGGTGTGTGGAACTAGTCCGCTCCCAGAAGTGTACATCACAAATGTCCTCAGAAGTTTGTGAGAAGTTCTCCATGGTCATGTGTGAAGATCTCTTATGTTCAAGGAGAATTTCATGGTGCCTCCTTGAGTGTAGATGTTCTCTAAGCAAAACACTGGAGAACTTTTGACTGATGGACATTAAGAGGTAGGTGGGATTCTGATGGTGGGAATGGGTAGTTGAACATAACACATTGGTTCGTACAAAGCCCCCTGTGATGAGCTGTGTTTAAAACCAGTTTCCTAAGGGAGGCCACTGAAGCAAGCTTTCCTTTGTGATATTGGAAAAGAGACTTTGAACAAATGGTTAGACACCTAGTTTATTGCGCAGGTTGGCTCACGTCATGCAATTCTTTTTCATGTCAGCATGGGAAGCAATTCTGGATTTCAGAAATACAAAAATAGTTGCTACCTCTTGGGTAATTCAAAACTTCTTATTTGACTGAATGTGCTGCCAGAAAGGAAGGGGTGATGGAACCAGGGAAGGATTTTTTTTTACTTGATTGCATTCATGTAGCCTGCTACTATTTTACTACTCATCACTCAATACTAGTGATGAGGAAAGGGTTCATGTTGCTCATCAACAAAGCTATAATGTCCAAACTTTTATTATTTCCATTTATTTTTTAATGGGCACCTTTATAAGTTAGGTCATTTTCAAACTTATTTAAACCATGAGAACAAATGTACTCTGTTATTGTTAGATTAGAACAGGGGTCTTCAAACTTGGCCCTTTTATGACTGGTGGACTTCAGCTCCCAGAATTCCTCAGCCAGGCATGCTGGCTGAGGAATTCTGGAAGTTGAAGTCCACAAGTCATAAAAGGGCTAAGTTTGGAGACCCCTTGATTAGAAGGTCTGTGGGAATTTGCGGTGTTCAGGGAACAGAAAAGCATGGTCAATCTTGAATTGATGCAGGAGACCATCTCTGCTGCTTGTTACTACTCCTAATAATAGCTGGGGGTTTCTGGCATCTTGCGGTATCTATGGTTAGAAGAGCATGTATGTAGCTCAGGACTGAAGTGTGGAGTCCTTGGTGGTCTCTGAACTCATACATCACCAAGGATTTCATTGTTCTTATGAACACCTTTTTAGGTGTTGCTTTGAGATGACATCAACAAGTGACTTGTGCTTAGTTTCCGATAACTTCTGCTGGTCTTTTCAAGGCTCCTCTGACCACCATATTCTCCGATGAGACTCTGAAGATCAGGGTCAGAATGACCAGGGGACTTTCTTGAGGTTTGTTATAAAGACCAGGAGTGTCTTATAATCAACCATGACCATGTTCACAAGTGTTGTGTCTTAGGGCATAATCCAGCAGACCATGACTTAGGATTCTTCTCCACCCAGCTGCTTTTCTATGTTCTACGGTTCTTGTTCCATATGTGAGATGGAAGTAAGGCTGTATGAAAAAGAGCCTACTCTACATTGCTTTCTCCTAACTACTCTTGGGAGACCATAAGGCTCCATCTCTTTAGAGAGAGAAATCCAAAGGCAGAGCCACCATCACCTGTAAACACCCTGTCCTCCCGTCATAAATTAGTGGCTGAGCAGGAGCAGAGTAGCTGAAAAGGAAATGGTGTTAAGTCTGGTCCTCAAATTACACAAGGGCTTTTTTGTTTTATTTTGAGTTTTACAAGACAGGGAAGGGGGGGCTCTGGATTCACCTCTTCTTCCTCCCCCCCCCCCTCATTTTCTCTGGCTATAATCTTGATTTTTATCCCCCCCCCCCCAGCAAGAAATCCAGATAGGCTTTTGTTGCTGTTGAAACAACAGAGGAAGCTTTTGACCATTTGGGTGTAATTATTTTGAAAACAGTATATGCATTTCGGGACTTTTTTTAGGTTGCTGTTTACATTTACAAAATGTTAAAAGTGTTATTAGATTATATTTTTGTTTTGGTTTTTTTTTACCACCCCGAGCTCCAGTGTTGGTTGAATCAAAATGTCACGTTACCCTTTGCAAAGAGAAAGTGTAACGTTTGCAGAAGTGTTGAATAGATGAAGCTGACACAACGCAAGATCAGATGGTTTCAAGGGCCAGAGACCAGAAGTATGTGTTAATTAGCATTTGTTGGGGAAAAAGAAAAAAGGAAAAAAAAAGCTTTTGTCTTCCTCCGTCTCCCCCTGCCCCTCCCCGCGAACCTTTTCAAAACAAATCAAAATTGATGTTCCTTGTAGTTTAGTTTCTTTCTTCTGGCATCAGCTGGCGAGATATTCCACACTGTGTGTCACTCCTTAGGGCATGTAGCCTCTTTGATTTATTCTCTTAATTTTCTAAAGTCTTCCCCCCCCCAAAAAAAAGTATTTATACATTATTTCTGTTGTTTAGAAATCAGCAGAGGGAAAGTTGGATCGTAACTTCTCTATTTACCACTGGCTGACTTGTTTTTGGTCCAGCATTGTTTTGCTGCTTGCGTTTATCGGTCCTTTTGTTGTTCTCCCGTATGTGTATATAAATATATATATAGATAGATATATATGTAATTATGGACTGCAAAAAAATAATAATAGCAATTTACTTGCCTGGTATAGAAGGAATAAGCTTATTTATAAGATAGTGTTAAATGAAGTCTGATGTATTCAGGTGATATTTGTTATATTGCATGCAAACCCATGAAAAGAACACATTCCATTGGGGGGGGGAGAGGGGAAGTGCAGGGGAGGGGCGGTTGAGAAAGAGTTTCTTGCTCCTTCGGACTGTTTTAAAAGGCTGAATGTTTTCTACTTTCCTTAGCAACTTGAACAACAAGAACAAAATAATTCTGATCTTCTAACCTGAAGAGTCGTGAATAGGAAACGTTGCAAATGCTTCACTGGAGGACAGATTAGAAATGGATTTTGGAGCCTAGAGGTACCCTCCCCCCTCAAAAAAAAAAACAAATTAAACCAGTGGGAAATTCAATGGGGGGGGGGAGAATCAGGAATCGGAAAGAGCCCACAAGGACCCTTCGTGTTCGATATAATGTTGGCCCCAAAAGCCAGGCACATCAGAAATAATCCAGATATCAATTTATGTCCTCTAATCTGGTACCATCAAGATCAGGGGGACTCCACGCTTGGCAACTTTGAAGACTTGCAGACTTCAACTCCCAGAATTCCTCAATGGCTGAGGAATTCTGGGAGTTGAAGTCCACAAGTCTTCAAAGTTGCCAAGTGTGGAGAGCCCCGATCTAGATAGCCCAGGCTTCAGCTAGCTAAGAATTCTTGAGATGAGAAGTCAAGTACATTTAGGATATTTAGAAATATTCTAACTCAGTGGTTCTCAACCTGTGGGTCGGGACCCCATTTGGGGTCGAACAACCATTTCACAGGGGTCGCCAAACAACGCAGTCCACCATTTCTCCCCCCCCTTTTTTTCTTAGCTGTGCTACTCCCTTTTATTCTATTAGCTTTTGAAAGCCAATAGAATAGACTCTCTTGAATAGAGTCTAATTCTATTGGCTTTCAAAAGCCAATAGGAGTTGTCCAGGCTGTCTCTGCCTTGCTGAGCCTGCCAAAAGTCCCATTCTGCAAACGGTGCTGCACCAGTTGAGTAGTCCTCGACTTACAACCGGTTGAGTAGTCCTCGACTTACGACCGGTTGGGGGTCGCGGCATTAAAAAGATTGAGAACCACTGCTCCAACTATTCTAAATGTACTTGACTTCTCATCTCAGAATTCCCTAGCTAGCCTAGGCTATCTAGGTCAGGGGTCTCCAAACTTGGCAACTTTGGAGACTTGTGGACTTCAACTCCCAGAATTCCTCAGCCACGTTTAGAGAGTACCACCATCGAATGTAAACAAACAAAAACTACATTAGAAAAAGCCACGGAGGGCAAAGAGATCTGACTGCGGAACGCTGGTGTGCTAGATCAGAGATGCTGAAAACACATACCACCTTTTAATTTACTCCTCAGATTTGTCCCTACCCGTTTCTTTTTATGCATCCTGTTTTGCTTTTCCTTCCAGTTCCCTTCTGAATTTAGGAGACTTTGACCTACATTGTTTCCCAATCCTCTTGCAATGAAGCATCAAGTGGTATTGATTTAACACTCTTCCGAGACTTTTTTTTTTCCCCTGGGATACATGCCTTTAATAAGGGTAGTTTTAAAGTTTAAAGTGTAATGGTATAAATAAAGAATTGTTCGGTATGGCAGAAATAAAACTCAGTTTTAGGTTGTTTAAAGAAAGCATGAAGCGATGGCTTTTCTGGAGATGTGAAATAATGAAAGTTGCATCATCTCGTGTCTAAGGGTGATCAAGAAAAGTGTGTTGTTGTTTTTTTCTCATTAAGATAAGATAACCTCCATTTCAGCATAGGCTGCTTCAAGTTGAAACTGGGGTTTACATGATTAAACGTCTTAACGTACAGAAAAATGAGTTGAACGTTTAGAGCGTGCCAAGAAAGAGGTTATGCTTTGAAAGAAGGGACATGAAAGAATGCTTGAGTTGCTTTGGTAAAGAAGGAAAAAAAAAAAACCTAGCTCTGTAGAAATCTGTGCTAAAAAAAAAAGGCAGCATTCAGGACAATTGCGTTTCAGTAAAGTCGGAAAAATATTCACAAAGAGAAGAGACTTCTAGCAAAATGGAGAGATGCTGAATGTACAAGTTTGCCTAACGCAATTAAAAAGAAATCCTGACCCAAAAAAAGGGCATCTTTATTAGCCCAATTATACAGATCATCATGCAGATCAGATTGATGCTAATACACAGGTCCTCGATCAGAAGCGTAAACATGGGGAGATGTCCTGCAAAGTTACACTAGCCCAGTTTGTTTTGCGCTGTGGCCATTCGGATGTGCAGTAGAGGTTGAGAAGAAAGGTAACGAAGATCATGGTTATGTGAGACTCCTTGCCAGATGCCCTCAATGAAGATGACTCATCTGGAACCCGATCTTAGCAGATCTTCTGTCATGTAGATAGATTGATCATGTCTCCATCCTGGTTAAAAAGCCTGGAGGCCAATTTCCATCATTTTTACGGTTGCAATTTCTATACATCAGTGCATTGGCCTACAAATCTCTGAATCTCCAGGCTGTTTAACTAGGAGTTTTAGGTTTATGAGAGAAGAAACACCTGCAGAATGGGACAACTCGCTGCGACCAACTCATTGTAGGAAAACTGCCCACGGCCAACTCGTTGTGGGACAATTCAGCAATTCAATTATTTGAAATACACGTAGTCCTCGACCTACGATGAACATTTCTGTTGAGACATTTGTTAAGTGAGTTTTGACCCATTTTACGACCTTTCTTGCTACAGTTGTTTAGTGAATCACTGCCATTGATAAGTTAGTAAACTGGTTGCTAAGTGAATCTGGCTGTCTCCATTGTCATAAGGTCGCAAAAAGGGATCACACGCTGCAATGGTCGTAAGTATGAACCAGTTTGCCAAGCATCTGAACTTCGATCCTGTGACGATGGGGGGGGTGTTGCAAAGGTCGTAAGTGTGAAAAAGGGTCACGAGTCACTTTTTTTTTGGTGTCGTTGTAACCTTGAACGGTCCTTAAATGAACTCTTGTAAGTTGAGGACTACCTGGAATTCAAAAATTATTTTAATTTTTGTCATTCATATTTAATTTTGTCCCTCCTTTGGCATCCTTTCTTTAACGATTCTGTTCCACCAGTTACATATTAGGGTAACTCTTGTTCCGCAGTGAGTTGGCCGCAATGAGTTGACCTGGATCCACCTGGAATATTGCAACCAATGTTGGTCACCATAGTACAGAAAAGATGCTGAGACTTTGGAAAAAGGTCAGAGAAGAGCAGCTAAGATGATCCAAGACCTGGAGACTAAAACATACGAAGACCGGCTGCGGGACTTGGGTTTGGCTAGTCTAAAGAACAGAAGAAATAGGGGTGACATATAGCAGTCTTCCAGTATTTGAGGGGCTGACACAAAGAAGAGGGTCAAACTGTTCTCCAAAGCACTCCAAAGGCAGGACAAGAAACAATGGTTGGAAACTGACCAAAGAGAGCAGCAACCTGGAATTAAGGAGAAACTTCCTGACAGTGAGGACAATCAACCAGTGGAACAACTTGCCTTTAGACATTGTGGATGCTGCATCACTGGAGGTTTTTAAGAAGAGATTAGACAGTCACTTGTCTGAAATGATGCAGGTTCTCCTGCTTGAGTGGGGGGCTGGACTAGAAGACCTCCAAGGTCCCTTCCAGCTCTATGCTAGTCTACCTGCATATCAATGCACTATATTCCATCGTGGTCTTCTCCATCTTGTGCTGCCTCACCTTTCTGTCCTAAAGAAGCCTCAAAGAGTTGGACTCAGCTCCATAGGTATCTCCTCCAGGACCAATTTTTCTGATTTTTGAAAAGATGGACATTTGCTTCACCCCCTTTTATGGCATTCCATGAACTTTTGGTTATGGGTCTCTACTGAGCTAAGTTATTCAAAACATCTAAACTGAATGTTAAAAGAAATGAGGCAGGAGGGTTGCACAAAATTGTCCGTATTGACTGAGCATTCTTATGTTTTTCATTTTCACAGCTCCAAAATATATCCGGCTTCCGTTTTGTGAAATGCGATTAACTATTGATGGTGTACTTTTTCTTTTAAAAAAAAAAAACAGTTACGTAAAACTGCAGTATTTAAATACTGTTTGGCATTTGTATTACGTGTGTTCAGTGTGAATAGTGGAATACATGTCATGTGTAACACAGTTTTTTTTTTGTTCTTGATTAATTTTTATCTTAAGTGTCTATACTGAACTTTTGTAAAAA